CACAAAAGATAAACATTTTGCAAAAAACGCAACAACACTGTTGAATCAATTCCGCAGCTCTCATTTAATGACTATGTTCAGCTAGTTGCCTTTTCCTCATAAATTTATGGTATGTTTTATATAGTCAGATATATTGTGTTTAGTCAACAAGGTAACTCGGTAGAGATTTTGTATGTGAACGTACTCTAAGCCAGCTAACTTCCAAACGAAATGTCAAAATTCATTATTGTGATTTAAATCACAGAAAAAAGATAAAGAACAGGCAAAAAAGTGTTAACAAATTTTGACATTACATCTGGTTTTTAAATTTTGCAGGAACACCTTGTTATTGCGCCACGAACAGAACGGAAAACTACTATTAAGGAAAAATACTATTGTTATTGAAAACCTCGGCACGATTAATTCACAATTGCATGTATTTTGATATCAGCTGGTCTTATCGGTCATGCAAGATGCCATGGTCCAACTATAAAATCCTCCTGCCAAGCCAACTGACTACCAATTTTAATGTCAAAATGCATTATTGTGATTGAAATCACAGAACAAAAGGTAAACAAATAGCCAACAAAGTGTAAATAAATTTTGACATTACATCTGGCTTTTAAAATTTGAAGGAATACCTTTGCGTAATGGAAGATCTAACTGAGCTGAAGTAACAGAAATAACAACTAAATTCACGAAATTCATACGACGTTGAAGAGGGTTTGAAATTGAAATATAGTATATAAAACTTGAAAATGGCATCCTTATTAAGAAATCTTGTACGACCAACACAGCGAAGGTAGAAAATGTTTGAAATATCAATAACACAGGTTAACATTTTTATTTACAGCCTTTGTTTACATCACAGACTTCCGATGCTAACGGAAGCCTTGAACTCCAAGAACTATTCAAAAGCCGCATCATCAGCCACAGCCGCTTCAGATCAACAACTTGTCCTAAGTGATTCATGCCTCAAGAGATTGAAGGAAATCTGTGGCGATGGTAGCTTTTTGCGTATTACAGTAGAGGGAGGCGGTTGTTCGGGATTTCAATACAAATTCGATTTGGATAACAAAATAAATGAAGACGATTTGCAGTTCGGTAAAGACGATGCTAAGGTTGTCATAGACAATGTTTCGTTGGAATATTGTAACGGAGCCACCGTCGACTATCACACAGAACTAATACGTTCAGGTTTTCGTATGCTGGCAAATCCGAAAGCTGAGCAGGGCTGCTCTTGTGGCTCATCATTTGCAATAAAATTGGATTGAAAAGAATATGATCTTTCCCTTGATCTTGGAACAAAAACACATCTGTGGTTTGACATGTCTAGAATATATACAAAGAAGTTTTATTTGTTGTTTACAATAATAAATTAGGACCAGACTAAGTAGACTGGTCAAAAAGCGCTTATTACATAAATAAATACACAATCTCTTGACTAAAATATTTGTCAATAATTATACACAGCGAAAGAAGCTATTTACTGGCTGCTAGCTGTTCGCTCAAGCTAATAATCTGTTCGGTGAGAACACTAATCTGTTCGTCATAGTTAACTCGGGTAGTTGTCTAAAAATAAAGAAAGAATAAAACATTTTGATTTGATGTCAGTAATCACGGGTCGAGTTTTACCATATCTTCTTCCAGTAAATGCAATGCTTGATTAATGCTTTCTATCTGTTCGTCTTTGTTTTTCAGTTCTTGTGTAGCATTTTCGAGACAAATTTGTAAATTATCCACTTCGGTTTCCACACTGCGAACCTTGGATTCGGCCCATACTTTATCTTTGAGAAGATCTTCCAGCTTTTTACTTAAGTGGTTGAATATAAGCAATTCTTTGCTGCATGGCATGGCATGATGATCCTTTCCCGAATCCCTTTTGCTATTGATTTCGAAAAAAGGGTAAAAATGGATTTTGGTAAATCGAAATTAATATTGTTCCATATTTGAAATCTCTATGATACCCACCTCTTGCCATCCGAAAATGAAGGTATTATCGTAAGGCCCGCAGCAGTTGTTGTGCTATTGCAAGAGGAATTTGCTCGGATTTCTTCATTGCACAACAAATTTGTTTCAGCAATTTCCAGAGATTCGGCATAGAGTTTACTCAACTCATACTGTGAACGCCAGTGCGCCACTTCTTGTTCCAAGGCATGCAGACGACTTTCAATTTCCGAATGATGAGAATTATGATGATGGTTGTGTAACGGTGTGGTTTCGCTTCCTGATGCACTCAAAGCATCTTCACTGCCCAACTGGAAGATGGACTCATTAAATAAATAGACTAGATTGTGATTAAACCACCCTTACCATGCTTGCAGCTTCAACAAGTTTGGTTTCCAATTCCTGATTTCGGGATTGTAATGATTCGATATCTTTACGTAGCCGTTTCTCATTGTCGGCATGTTCAATATTACGTTTTTCCATAGTATCTTCCATATTTCTAATACGCTCAGCATGAAGCTGGAGACTTCTTTCTTTGTCATCAATCTAAGTGGAGGTTAGTACATGAAAGATATATAAATAAAAGTTCATTCCTTAAGATACACACCAGTGAAGTCAGTTCGGCATTTTCAATAATCTTCTTTTGTAGCTCCTCGAAAATTAATGCATCCTGCGAAATATCTGCCTTGTTTGCCATTGCATTGTTGTGGGCTGCATCATTTTTATCGTGTGGACTTCGTTTCTTGTCCTTATCCCTTTTACGTGCTTCACTTGTGGCCAGCTCCTGTTGCAGAGCAGCAACACGCAGTTCCAATTGCTTGTTACGAAAACCCAGTGAGTCGATTTCTTGTTCTGACCGCCTGGCCTCTAGTTCCTTTTGTTTCAATTGATCTCGTAGATTGGAATTTTTTGATTGTTCTTCCAATATGCCTTTCCGCAGTACTGAAGCTTGTGCCCTTATCTGGATGACGCATAAAATGATCGCATTAACGCTTCTTTTCAATGGGCGTTTTTGCCAACTTTACTTACCTTTGCGTACTCACTGGCTAACTTTTGATATTTATCTTCGGCAACAAATCCCTCCATTCTTTTGGCATTGATAATTAATGGTTAGTAGTATAACATGGACATTTTTTTATCAGAGCTATCTTCTGGTTCAACAAAGATATCAGTTTATTTTTTTGGTTGACTGCAAAGTGAAATGCAACAAAATACACAATTGTGTAAATCCAAGAAAACTTCTATTGATGGTAATCTAATGCCCGATTTATGCTCGCACTTCCGGCACGAGAAGTGTAGCGGAATATATTTAATTATTTTAATTATTTGATTTGTCTTTTTTCTTTCGTGTTCTTTTCTCTTGCAATACTGCCTGGCTGTTTTGACACAAAAACAAATAAGGATTACAAAGCCTTTCAAAGCAAAACCAACGCCGTAAAAGTTTGAAATTGGAACAAACTAATGTAGATAATGACTGATAAAAATACCAATGAAAACAAAAGAATGAATAAAATTTGCAGCAAAACAAAATGTCAACCAGAGGTTTTTGAAAGTAGAACAGCTGTTATCTTTGTTGCCAACATCACACTTTGTTTTCTTGGGAAATTGGCAACAGTAATGTCCTTCCGGCCTTTTTTAGCAAATATATTAATCGAATAAAAAATGTTATTGATAAAATTACATGCACAAATTATTTTCTGCTTTTCGAAATTTAAAAAAATATTTTTATTCCCATTTGATATGTCTTCGTATATTTATTTTTATTACTCTCTGTTTCTCTATGTGTGAAAAATGTAAGATTTGTACTTGTGAATTTTGCAACAGTAGTGCCCATTTGGCGTTTTTTTACACCCACTTTAGTTTTGCACAACTGGCATTGGTAAATTTATAGAAATTAAACAATTCAACATATAGTTGTTTGAGTTGTCTTTGCAATTTCATAATATGTTGACTTTCCTACATTTCAATACAAAACATTTTTTTAATACGTTTTGTTTTTCTCAGAAATGGCTAAACAGCGGTAATATAATAGGTGTATACAAAATGTTGTTCGACAACCCAAGAGCTCAAATAAGAGCGTGTAAAGAGAGAAAATTTGACAGTTGTGTTGCTGAGAGTATGGAAAATTTTACTGGAAAATATTTACTTCCTTCTGTCTTAATTATGTTTCAGATAAAAAGCATAAGAATAACAACTTTTTGTTGTAAAAGTTACCGTTCGAAACAGCTAAATAGAAAGTTATATCCGTACAAGTTACTAAGTAATTTTGACTGGAAAAGTTATCGTACACACCTAATGTTTACTAAAAAGTAATGAGTTGGCAACGCGGAATCGCATATGGAAAGCGGCCAGCAGCGTTGTCTTAGCGTTTTAGCATTTAGTTTACAAGTAAACAATTTTACAATTCTAGAAAAGGACCTGAAAAATGTCTGGAAGTTCAATAGAACTCAGCTCCTACCGTGATCAGCACTTTAAAGTGAGTTACAATAGAGTTTAGAAGTTGCAACTCCAACAAAAATATTTTTTTTTTATTGCAGGGTTCACGCTCGGAACAGGAACGATCTCTCAAGGAATCAACCACATTATATGTGGGTAATATGTCATTTTACACAACTGAGGAACAAATTCACGAACTTTTTTCACGATGCGGGGAAGTTAGGCGAATAATTATGGGTTTGGATAAATATAAGAAAACTCCATGTGGATTTTGTTTTGTCGAATATTATACGCGTGCCGATGCCGAAACTGCAATGAGGTTGGTTTGTTTGTTTACTTTTGCCAAATGTTCAGAACTTCATGTGCTTTTCATTTCCTTTACAGATATGTTAATGGTACCAGACTTGACGATCGTTTGATTCGAGTAGATTGGGATGCAGGCTTTGTGGAGGGCCGACAATATGGCCGTGGCAAAACAGGCGGTCAAGTACGTGACGAATATCGTACAGACTACGATGCCGGTAGAGGTGGATACGGCAAACTATTATCACAAAAATTAGAAATTGTTCCGAAAATTTAATAAATTAAGCTAGTTTTGTATTTTTAAATAAAAAAAATTGTACAAAAAACTGTTGGAATTTGTTTTTTATTATGTTTCATTTATTTTTGATTCATCTACAGTTTCGATATAGCCTACACTTCAAATAATGTTTATTTTTCAATTGACTGGATACACGTTCTACGTAGCTTATTTTCATTGGGCAGCATGCGGATAATGCAATTCGATTGCAATCTAATAATCTCTTTACTTTTTGCCCAAGTTATTGGCCAAAGAGCAGCTCAAGCCAGTGCCGTCTGGTTCCACATTCAATTCCACAACTTGTCCATTCTCCACGACCATGGAAAAGCGCTTAGCGCGTACTCCACCCAATGGTGGCAAGTCAATGGTCAAGTCCAAGGCTTTAGCGAAAGCGGCAGAAGGATCGGCCAACATGCGTACTTTACCCGCAGCATTGTGTTCCTTGCCCCAAGCGGACATTACGAAAGGATCGTTGACGGAAACACAAACAATTTCATCAACTTTTTGTTGAGATTTCAAGCTGTCAGCCGATGATACATATCCTGGCAAATGTGTCTAAAATTAAACCAAAAGAACATTTAATATGGCCCATAGTTTCATGTCTTTTATGTAAGTACTTTGGAACAGCCGGGGGTAAAAGCTCCAGGTACACCAAAGATTACAACTTTCTTTCCGGATGTCAAGTCGCCAGTGTTAATCTTATTGGCTGGGGAATCTTCAAACAGATCCACGGAGGGCAGCTTTTCACCAACCTGGAAAAAAATACAAGAGCAAGATTTCAGCGTTATTCAATCTTAAAATTGCACATAAAATGTGTAATCGATATTTGCAATCACTGGCTGTCCTGTCTTCCGTATTAGTAAACTTACTATATTCTTCATGCCTGCTATGCTACCTGGTACTGTCAAAAGTTAAATCACTTCTGTTAATAAATGCGGCAACTTAATTAAACTAAGTCGTCGCCATTGATAACTTTTGGAGCCACTTTATATCTTTTTCAGATAACTATATTTAGCATATCTACCTGTTTTTTTTTAAGTACTTCCGCAAAAATTACATAATATATACAAATCTTTCAAACCTTTTTTCCATTCCCAAAATTAAACCCATGTAAATGCACGCGTATTCCCGGACTTACCTTAATGGGAGCCATTACTTTGTACGTTGTAGAGATTTGACGTATCGACTGCAACTTCGAGAAAGTATTTTGGAATACAAGGCGACCAATTTGCATTTTCTCGTCTTCTCTCGTTTCTTCTCAACTGATATATGATGGTGCATATATTCTACCCATATACTACCATATGATGCGATGCGTGTGTATGAATGTCATGTCATAATCAATACGAAACGGCATTGCCAACCATATCTTAGCATTTGTTTTTATTTTTTATTAATTAAAGAATAAGAAAAAACAGCATGTAATTAATTTAGTTTGAAAAGAAAAGCGCAAGTAAACAAAATCAAACAGTATGTTCCGAAGCCAGACGCTCTATGTCATCCAAACTGAAGCCTTTGAGTTTCTTTTCAAAGTCTAACATAAATTCCTTGGTGAGGGCAGCCGATTGCGTTTCATTGTAGTACTTGCGAAAAGAACGGTGAATAATGTCTTTGATGTCTTGTTTAACCACTATCAAGTTGAGCTTTGTTCCTTCTTTTATATTGGGATACGATGCAATTGTCTGGTCATCATTTAATGTGCGTCCAAGTATTAATATCTTTTGTGAACCCAGAGGAATGCCAAGCCTCTCCTCTATTTCTTGCTTTACCTGGTAAATTGTGGTACTTGGCGTAACCTGAACGATAAAGATTAGAGTTTGTTAGCATTGGATTAGGAACCTACTTGGCGTTACTTACTTCCAAGTTACAATCCTGTCCTTTTAAAACTTTAATTGTAATTTGCATTATATTTATAGTGTTTTGGAGAGGTGTCGTTCCGGGACAAAATAGCTCAGTGATACTATTCACTAAAAGGAGCTATGTGAAGTAGTTCCATACTTTCATCTCTTCTTTCGGCGTCTGATATACTGGCGTTTTTTTACGTTTTTCGTCATATATTTAATTTATAATGATATTTATTAAAATAATTTTAAAATAAAGATCTTTACATCGATATAAAGATAATTCAATAAAAACGAAAGTTTCCTGGTATAAAATGACAAGCAAATTGTTTTCGTTGCTTTGATATTTTTCTTAATATTCAATCCGATCCAGTAATATCGAAAAAATTAATAAAATGCTTGTTTTTTTTTCGTTATAAAGATGATGGAACCATGGTTCAATAAAATCAATCTCATTGTCAAAATGGTTATTTATAAATCCATTGTACATAGTCGAAGATGAGAACATGATTTCTATGCAGTAAATTTTGACAAGGTAAATTACAGAAAATGCAAAGATGGGCATGCTTATTTGAAATGACTTAACCTTCTTTGATTCTACCATGGATATCATAAAGGGAAAATCGTAGTAAAAACTTGTACTTTTTTGCTGTTCTGGAACAGACCATATAATTCCTTTTAGATGTTCCATAGGAAGCTAATGGGAGAATTTCTGGATGAAGTAATTTTAAAATTGGAAATAGGAGGGGAAACCATGAAGAAGTGTTATGTATTTTGCCAAATCCATGCAGATTGATGTCAACTGCGAAACTTCTTCGCATTAAACTACATTGGGAGGACTTTTAAATATCTGAGTAATAGGTGAGTAAAATAATGCTAAAAATCCACTTATAATGGTTATATTAACAGATTTTATAAGATTTATACATTTACACATTTTCTAGGCTTTAAGAACAATGTGGCTGACTGAGAGATGTGTATTATAATCTTGATTAATAGATCCCTGGTATATAGAAGAAGAAAACAAAGACTGCAAACATAATCTGTCAACCAAACCGCCGGCTAACAAACGCACAGCGCGCAACAATTTCCAGTACCACTACACGTTATACGTTGCGGTAAGAAATTAGGCAGACAACAACTTAACATCTACTTGTCGTGTGGTAACTCTGGTCAGTCAGTAAACGTCGTCGTCGTTTTTTCTTTTTCGCAAAAGAAAAAAGAAATTCGCGAAGATTTCTTTTCAATATAATTATCTAATAATTGTTTAAAAGTGATATATTTAGAGCGTATTTAATATGTATGTTTGAAAAGGTGAAATTTACAAAATGTACTTCATGTAATAGAAGTTTGTAAAGATAATCGGATAGGTTTCGTTATCGCTTGATTGATTGCTTCTTCATGTTACGATCTACTTTCTAGATTTTATGTTGGTGATTGAAAGTGCAAATCAAATCAAATATTTGTAGTTCATCATTTTATTGAAGAATTATTATTGGAGGAAAAGAAGAGAAACTAATGTAATAACCATTGTGCGCCTCTATAATAACGAAAATAGAACGAACAAGACAGTAAAAAGAGGTTGACAAACGGGCTAACAAAAGTGCGTTCGCGCGTGTGTGTGTGTCGCGCTGAGAACGATCCCAATTACAATTATTCCCATCTGTGCTAAATAGCATTCTACAACAAGAACATAGTATATTTTTGTTAAATTTTACATACAATTGCAGAATTATATTTTAATGTTTTCAAATTTAAATCGAGGAAAAGAGAAAATTAATAAAATATTCCGCAAATTGGGGGTGCGTATTAAAAAGAAAAACCAAAAAACAAAAATAAAGACAACTAACCATGTTAAATAAGTTTTTAACTAAAATGAAATATTTGTTGAATGTGAAAGAAAATTGCATTATAAATCATATTAGAGGTGGTCCTATACGCTGTAAGGTATTCATCATAATTTATTGTGATGATGATGATGATACGTTGATACCTACATGCATATAAACAACGAACACACATTTATACTTGTTGCCTATTTTGCGTCCGCCATTTGTTTTGATGAAAAAAAACTCTCTCCTAATAGGTATTTTACACTACAGTGTTTTCATTGATAATAAAAATTTAAATGTTATTTTGTAATAGAATGGAATTTTTTATAAAAAGGAATTTTATTAATATTTCAATGAAAATTCTCGTTTGTTGTTGATTTATCGGGAGTCAATGGCAACAGTGACATCAATTCCACACATCGAAACCGGTTGGGTATTAGACTACTCCAAACCGGCTTTTTATGTGGTCTGTTCTATAGAATGTTTTAAAGTTTAAGGTGAAAATTTAGAGTGTTTTAAACACCTTCGATAAAGACAAACGGAAAAGTAACAAGAAATTGATTTATTTAAGTAGCTTTTCTGTTTAGTAACATAAGTTCAGATTGATTCTGATTTGTACGCATTCCAATTAATCTATGTCCAAAATGATAAACGGCAGAGGTAATTGGGTGTAATTTAAGAACTTTAGTATTGGCAACACTAATCTTATTGATGACATATGTTAACTCTCTCTCTCTCTAGAAATAAGTGATCTTAGAAATGAAAAGATTATCCCTACAGAAAGTTTAATTCATCGTTTTCTTTTGTATCCTGATTGAAAAGGTTTTCATTTTTCCTTTAATATTATAAATAAATAGTTTTTTCTTCTTAAATCAAGCTATCATTAAGAAACGTAATGTGTTGTGTTAACATTCACCTGTTGCTCTCTCAACAACGATTTGCAAAATGAGTTGAGAACTAGGCACAGTGACAACAAAATGCTCTGACAACCATAATTGGTATACTTTGTAAATGGCATAAAATATTAAAGTTCGTTATTAAAATAATTCAGGCCGTAATACTTTTAAGCACAAAAATGTGGTGGTGGTTGAATCTGAATGCATTAATTCTTAAGTGTGGTATCAACTTTAAAACCTTTGGTCATTAAGGGATACTTAACATGTATCAAAATATAGTTGAACAAACATTGTTGTAAACTTAAAATAATTAATTGATTATAGGTATTATTTCTAAACATTTGTAGAATATATTCATAAAAGAGAAACTATTAACAATAAAACTTAGGGAGCAAATGTGGACTCGAATTTTTTATCTCTAATTATATAATTGTTAAATGTGGTAAACACTATCAAACCGCCAATTATTAGGTGATATTTAATTTTCATCAGACGTTAGTAGAAAAAAATACAGTTTCGATTATATTTGATTATATTATAAAAAAAAATTTCTCATTTGCTACAAGTTTAAAATGAAAAACGATATGCTTTTAAGGTGAGAAAACATAAAACGCTTTTTTGGCTGGCTTCTTCGTAGGGGAATAAAGGAGTTTTAGGTTGACATAGTTCGATTTTGGATCTAGGCTCCTTTGTTCATTTCCGAAGAAGCCAGTCGATGACTTAAGGCTGTCAAAAAAGCGTTTTATGTATTCTCACCTTTAGTTGTTGTTAATGCTCAAGCAGCCGGACAGTTGTTACAGATTGAGTTTAGGTGTCAATCCTTGGCCACATACAGTTTGTTCCGTTACACATTGTAAACCGGACTAATGTTGAAACTAGGATGTTTGATTTATTTCCTTGTCTTTATTGTTTAAATTTGTATTGTCCTCCTCAAAATAGGCATGAGAATAAAAAAAACACATCTAATAATAATTTAAACAAATTGCTGTCTATATTTCTTCTAATATGACTTTTATTTGTTCATTATTGATTTTCTAGTTGAGTCATTTGTTGTTGTGGTTGTTGTCGTCCGTCGTATGTGAGTGGTAATCACAAATAAGTGTGTGCACGTTTGTCTTCATCAATTGACAACAACAACATTGTACTATCCTCACAACACATACCCCATATTCTAAGTCGATTGGAATTGTTGACATCTAAATAATACCTAACTACAAACCTACTACCTATCAACATAGAGTGGAACAATAACGTCACGGAAAATAATAACTACAAAAAACGAAGAAAGGTGGCTCCTTAACCCGTTATGGATAATAAGGCAGCAACAACGTTACAGCCAAATACACCATCTTCCAAACCCGTGGATGTTGTGGTGTCGCCGGTGGTTGTCAATAACAACAACAATAATAATAACAATAGCATAAATACGAAGATAACCACCACTACTAGCACCACCAGCAACGGTATCAAGGAAAATAACAGTAATAATATAACAACGACATCGGCGACAACAGCTTCCATACCAATTGTGGTTACAAATACATTGGCCAGTGGTAATACAAGTTCCGGTTCTTCTTCATCGTCGTCGCCTCCATTTTCAGCTGCTATCAAAAAGGAGGTAAGTTAAATAGATATGTTTGCATTGCATTCCATTATGTGTTGTACATATACATGCCAACATACCACCATCCCGTATAGACGATATGAATACACATATGTTTATGAATGGCTTCAGTTTTCTTCTTTGCAACATATTACAATTATTGTTAAGACTTGTATTCTTTTCACCCATTAGTCTACTTATGTTTTTTATTTTATGTGTTATTTGTAAATCAAGCATTGAAATTTGTATCAAGCATCTTTGGATTTGTATTCGGATGAAGGAATGGGCGGCTACTTATGTTTAGAATATTTACATATGTGATACTATTTCCCATCAGGATTTTAGGTCCGAATGAGAAGCAGTAATAATTTAGATACATCGCTTTCCTTTCTTTGATTCTATTTAGAATCAATACCTATAGAACAATACCTATTTTAAATATCAAAAAACCCATGGGAATTTCCCTGTTTTTTTTTTTAACAGATTTTTTTGGAAATAACAAAAAATCAACTAAATTTTTTATTTTTTAAATATGAACCACTGATTTAATTTAAGATAAATTTTGGAGGAAAGGTCCAATAATTTTTTAGATTTTTATTATATTTATGTTACAATATTTGTATGCAAACTTCATTAAAATACATGTTTTCTCTTTGCAGGCCAATAAGGAAAATCTAAGCACACCTCCACGGGATGCTCCCCCACCAACACCCATAACTAAAGGTTTAAACTTAACTACAACACCCATTGTGAAAAAGGAGAAACGACAAACAAGTTCACGCTATAATGTATCAAAGAATTGTGAACTAACAACATTGCCCATTTTAAACGAGAGTAAGTATATAATTGCATTCCCTTTTAAAAACTATCAAAAAATATACAGATAAGAATAAGAATATCGATTTAGAATAGAGAAGGCTATTCTTTTTTATTGAAATACAATATAATGCACTCGATGTACATCGGCGTGGCTATTTCAAAGGAAGACATATTTGATTTTTAAAATTATTTTTTTTTATTTTTTTTTTGACTACAATTTTCTAGGTTACATTTCTCTTTTTAAAAATGTAACTTTGCAATTTGTGTTTTAATATGTTACAAAGTTCTAAGAATCCAGACGAATTGTATTTTTCCAATACGCCGTTGGATTACTGATAGATAACATTTTAGATGTGTTTCCCCATGTTTTCAAACGAATTGGCTGTCATTTGGGGATTCGGGTTTTAATGGATTAAAAAATATTATAGGTCCGTTTTTTTGGAATAGCCCTACAAAACTGTACTCCCTGAGTTTTGGCAATAAACAAACACGATTTGGAAATACGTTGGGATACAACAATCTGGTTCAGTTTGTCAAAACATCTCCCCAGACAAACCTTCGATGTAGAGAGTGGAGAGATAGGACAAATTTAGAGATATTTCCTGGACTATAGACTCATGTTAATACTGCACAGTGGCTTTTGAGTTTGGAACTCTACTACAGTCTTTTGGCGGCAATTTTAAATATTTCGATCGCAGCGGTACAGCAAGTCTAGATCAATGAAATATAGTTTTTTTTATAAAGAACTATTGCCAGGGACTAATCTCTAGGAACCCATACATAAAGTCTGAAGCGTTATTTATCAGATGTTAGACCTCTTTCGAAAAGACAATAACCGTCTAAAATGAGTGGTGGTATTGTAACAAGGTATACATGCTTTCAGCTTTAATTGACTTTATCATGACAAGGTATGATGCCACAGTCCGCCAGACATGACCATCGTGTTGGACTTACAAATCGTATCGGACTAATAATTTTTATAATAGTCTCCCTCAGATGTTAGCCATATTTAATTTTACAAAAATGTTTTCTTCCGACCACTTCCTTGGCGTCGGGCTACGCTACCAGTACGGTACAGTCACGGTAAAGAGCGATGGTACGAGACACAAAAGATTTATTCACATTTAAATGCTAGAGTGTTCTAACGATAGGCACTTGTGGGTTTCCAGCCAAATATAAAGAAATCACAATATCACGCATGAATTCCATCACGAATAATTTTTTTTTGGAAAATTCTCATCAGAATGCTTTTGTGCGGTTGTGAACAATATAATGAGCTGTCACTGGAATAATTATAACGGCTGTCGGATGAGTGGCTTAGAAATGACAGCAGTCTGAAGTTGGTTGCAGTTTTTTCATCTCACCCTGTACAAAGCGCTAACGAAGTATAAAAAAGCGCTAACGAATTACTTTACATTGGGACAGAACCTAAATTTTTATTTAATGAAATATTTTGCGAAGAAACCCTTCAGAAAAAATTTGCAATATTCATAAAAATTGAGTCATAAATGCTTCATGTTATTATAATGTAAAAAAAAATAAAAAATATATATTTTTTGGCTGCCTTTTATTAGAGAGTAGAAAGGGAGCTGAATGTGGAAAATTTCACACCTCCCCTTTTTGTACTCAAAAGCAGCCTATAGTTATTTTGTTGAAACTTTTAAGATTCACGCAGAAAGTTTCATGAAACAAGCAAGCAGGAAACTGGTAAAGGAAATAGTGTGATCCTAATCACATTAATTTCTATTCGAACACATAAATCGGGGTTCTCTTTCATGAAATTTTCTGCAGAACAACTCTTGGGTTTGGCAGAGTTGTTCAAGTTTCCTTTACTTTCATAACACCAATGAACATCAGCTGATTGTCAAACTTGTAATAAAACACTACAAGGGCATACTCTCACATCCCTTTGCTAATGTCCATAATTTTACTCCCAATAACAATTTAAATACATTAATAACCAAGTTATTGCAGTTATTATTACGTTTATTATTTAATTACATTACTTAAAGAAGAAGAAGAGGAAGAAAAAAAACACAGTTTTCTGGCCACACCATCCATTTTCATGTGGTTTGGTACATGCGCATTACATTTGCTTCGCTTACTCTCTTTCGCTCTTTCTCTCAGGATATGTCGTCGTCTTTGGAGTAAAAACTGTCTTGACTGGTGGCAGTCTTGTCAAAAAGTTTATTGATTTGTTTCGTTTTTCTTTTTTCTACGTTTTATTATCTATACGACAAGTGTGTGTTGTTAGCTCCTCAGTTAAAGTTTCAGTATATTGTAGTTATGAAGTGAAAAAATTGTATAGTAAAGTAAAAGAAAACCATTTTCATATAAGAAAAAAGAAAAAGAAAATATGATAATAATCTAATAAGTAAATTTGCCACTATACTAATAATTCAACTACTACATTTCAAATTAGGTTATTCATTTTAGAAGGTAAGCAAAGCAGACCCACCAGCACCAGCCAGCTATCATCATCCAGCAATTCATTAACCACGTCCACATTACCCTAACTTACTTACCGGCTGTCTCACAAATCAATACATAATACCCACCTACCTACCTACATATCTCTATATACAGTTCATATAACACATTTTCTATTAATTTGTAATGTTATTGTTGTCGTCGTCGTCTTCGTTGTTGTCGCTCAAATAATGCCTTTATTTGTTTATTCTATTTAAACAATTTTAATTATTTGTGCCATTTTTTGTTTGTTGTTTTTTTTTTTTCATTCGTTCCACCAACAACATACCACCTATCTTTAGCCATGTAGTTTTCTACTTTAACCACAAATTGTTATACATATGTATGTATATACAAGAAAATATATGTAAACATGACAAAAGTTATTTTCTTTTTTTTTTCTCTGCCTTTCCCCATTTTCTTGTTCTCCCCAGTTTTAACTGCTGTGTGGCATGCTTTAGTGTTTCTTTTTTTTATTAAATTACCATTATTTCATATTTAATTGTTTTAAGTTCAAGTGTCGTCCTACTCAATTTTCGTTGTTTAGTGCCACCCAATTTTGTTGAAACTTTCAAAAAATATTGATTGACGCATTGGTGTCTTGACATTAAGGAAACCTAAATACAACAATACTTGGATCGATCTGTGAAAGAAGTTGTTTTTTTTGGGTTTCAATAGAAATTGTGTATTGTTCCCAGCTCCTAATATGGTGAGGAGAAAATAAATCGAAATTGATTTAAACTTTTCTTAAAAACAATGGTAACAATTTCCAATAGTAGTGTTAAAAATAGAGATAATGGCCTCAATGTCCTACAATGTGATGTGTTGTGGCAGTGATACATGAAATACACCAAACTGGCCGAAAACTGACTTTTTGTTTCATGTGAAGTCGGCATCGTGTAACTAGCTCCGAAAGGGAATTCACTCCACTCGTAGTTCTGTGGTCCAACGTGTTCATGATGTATGCCTAGGATAGATAGAATTGTAAAGAATTGGCGATATTTTAAGTTAATTGCCATTGGAAAATTATTTTGGTTTGATTTGGATTCCAGCTACACTGAAATCCTTAGCTCCTTTGTACTGGGGGACATTTGGTCAGTTATGTTCATCCCAAGAAGAACAGTCAGAGATCCTCTGGACGGTGTTGGGTAGATTTGGCTGGACAATTGAAGAGATGCAGCGTATTTGTGCGGGCCCGTATCGCACACTGGGCATGTGTTCCCCACACCTTCGCCAATTCGTGCCCAATATGAATTGAGACGGCTGCACCATCTAGAATGGATGGGGTATGGACTCCGAGGATGTCATTTATTATACTGTAATTGCATCAGTATGAATGCTATTCACACCCGCTTGATAGGCTTCATGATCTAGGGGCTCTTTCTTATATCGTTGGACCTCTCCCTATAGATCATGCAGGTCCTTCCTGACACGCCTGGGTGGGGGAGTTCTGCCAAAGACGATCTCTATTGAAATTGGAGATAATCGTCAAAATTTAGATATAGCTCCCATATACAGGGTAAGATAAAAAATTGCAACAAAGTCAAACGCCATAATTTCTACATTTTTTATAAATTTTATTGAATGAAAGCAAAAAATGTCGGAAATAGCATCAAATTTTAGAATAAGTTTAGATTTGTTCGAATTGGTCACCTTTGGCACGAATTATGGCCTTTAAACAGCCAATGAAACCGTCACACGCTGCCCGTATGTTGCTCTGTGGTATTTTGGGCCTTTCCCGGCGAAGCGCTTGTTTGATGTGATCGACACTTTGGTATTTCTCAGTGCCAACCTTGCTTTCCAAAATATTCCAGACACAATAGTCCAACGTATTGATATCCGGTGATTTTGTTGGCCATTGTGCGCTGGAAATGAAGCGAGGAACCTCATTTTGTAACCATTCTTGAGTGGCGCGTGCTGAGTGCGATGGTTCTGAGTCCTGTTGGAAAGTCCAAGGTCTGCGTGCTCAAGGCTTTAATACACCTTCCAGAATATTTTCGCGATAATATTCGGCATTTATTCTGAGAGCGACCATCGGCTGTTATGGCGGCCCACAGCATCACCATTGCGCTTGAATTTAGGTGGCCAACCGAAGGTGCACATTTTCAGCTGACCTCTTTGGCAAGTAATTTTGTTTGTTTACAAACTGCGGGACAACGAATGTTTTCTCATCGGAGAAAACCAAATTCGGCCGTTCACCACTTTCGGCCAAGCGAAGCAACTCTTTAGCTCTTTTGAGTCTATTTTCTTTCCGTTGCGGTGTAAGTTTTTGCACTTTTTGGAATATCAAAGGCGTTACCACGAGCTCATTTTTTAATATTTGCGAATGGAATATTGCGATAAGTTCAGCTCACGAGCCATTTTTCGGCCACTACTACGCGGGTTTCGATCAAGTCGCTTCTTTACTTTTCGAACCCGGTAACGAGCGATGTTACGAGACACAAAAGATCTATTCACATTTAAATGCTGGAGTGCTCAACGATAGCCACTTGTGGTCTTCCAGCCAAATATAAAGAAATCACACTATTACGCTTGAATTCCATCAC